AGTTATACATATGATACAGACGATAATAGAGCTGCTTATTAATTCTGTCCTGTATAAAAGTGTATAAAAAAGGATAATACTAATATCGTCCCGGGTTTTTCTTGAGTACGTTTGAATTGTGTCTTCATGCATTACCTATGATATAATATTAATTTATTATCAATTGTTTTAGTGTTATTGATTAAGTATAAAAAAATTTGTTTAAACTTTGATAATTTTTTCGTAAGTTACATTAAGTAAATAAATACATTTATTGTCGCAATGTAGTGTTAACAGTTCATAACTTACCTAATGTGTGTTACTTTATTTTAAGTCAAGTTTTTAATTTAGATTATGAAAAGTGAGATGAGCACTATGTATAGCAAATTTTTTTTTTCAATTATCGTTTCTCCATTTTGACGAAGTGATCGATTGTTTCACAGATGATTTATTATCTATTAAACTGTTAGTTTAAAAAAATAGATATATTTAGTGATTACTGATTATATATTAAAAACATATATACAACCGGAATCTAGTTTTCTGTCTTCATTATGGGCAGAATACTCGGCTACTACTATGTCAACTAGTAACTACTATAATAGTTATGAAACTTTTCATTCTAAGCTCAACGTGATGCCAATTCATACCAATTCAACCTCTGGAGAGGTTACAACGAAGCATTTACTATAACAAATGTATAACCACCTAAATTAATAGAAAATTTTTTTTAAGATTAATCAATGGCAGATTTTCAATCAAAACAAATTAGCAAGTTCGAATTTAATTATTTTTTAAATTTTTACTGATATCATAATATTTTTTATTTATTACAATTAAAAAATACATGCCATAATACGATAATAATATAAAAAGCAAAAACAATATTTTCATCAACTGGCTTCTGACCTACCTATAGTAGTGATTATAGTTTAAGTTTGTTTATAAATGGGAAGAGAATTATTGTTAAGTTTTTTTAATTTACGAGATGCTAATGGTATGTAGGTAATCAAAAAAAAAAAAAAAAATCGGAACGCAACTAATATGGCACAAAAAAATAACTGGGATACAATTTGGAAGAAATTGTTGCCACGTAACGTTATTCATATCCAGATTCCAGAATATATTTTATAAGCACCTTTAAATATATACCAAACTGTTCAATGTTCAAACCAAAGTGTGTTTCTTAAACATCGTTTTTCATATTATATATCTATATCCAATAATGTGTGATATAACCTGATATAGTTTGTGGTATGATTACATGGGTAATGTGTCGTCAAAGATTGATTCGTATTCTGTCAATAATCATTAATCACTGGTAGTAATATAGGAGACTTGTCTTCTGCAAGCTGAAGCGAGTTAATTAAATATTAAACATAAATTATGTATATTGTTTACCTATTTTGTATAAGTATGTGACATCAGATTAGAGTATTATTCGAATAATATTCAGTTATTTTATTTAGAAAAATATTTAAATTACTTAATTAATAATTAGTACTTATAACTATGTTTGTAAATTATTATTTGAATAATTATAATGATTTTATTAAAATATATATATATGAAAACAAATATGCATTATGATATTCGAATAGTTTCAAATAAATAGGTATAAACCTAGATGAAAATTTGCATACTTTGAAGTATATTATATGTTTAAGTACTATTTATTATAGTTAATCAGAGAGTAGATATGAATATTATTAATTTAAATGTGTTTTTCTTACCAAAAACATACATTTTTTAAATATTTATATGTGAAAAGCTATTTTAACTTTGGCGCTGATCATATTTACAACGCGCGGTTATTGACTCAATACTAAGGCGGCGTAAGGACTAAATCGGAAATAGTTCTGATTATACCTATCATAACGGGTGGTGTGCAGCAACCTTCAAGGTTATTATTTTTTTCTCATTTGATATGTTGATGAGTGTTATTCTATATGACGACGTTTATGGCCAATGACCATGTCTAATGAGTCGCGATTTATCCGTTGTCTATGTAGCCAAGTTATCCTGACTATTGATGCAATAAATTAAAATTAAATCATTTAAAAAAACTATTTAGCATTTCACGTGTCTATTCCATATTTTTTCAATAAATATATAAATTAGTGTTAAATAGATAAGATATTATACCCAACACACCGCTGTGACGTGCATTATAAATATTAATGATTAGGAAACCTTATTATAGGTATAGATGTTTATAATATATTATATTTTATTGTAATTCACGTGTTATTTTGTGGCTGAACAGAGAAAAAAATATAATTTGTACGCTTTATCGACGACATTTTATACATATTATACGTATAAAATGTATCGTATAGATGGATACGATTTAAATCTTATATCTAATTTATCCACAAATAATAATATACATGTATTCTTTAAAATTACTGCACGTCTTTGTTTTAATCGGTTGTATTTCGGCGGTATAAATCAGGTGATGGATCGTAAAAACTGTTTAAATCGATTAATTCCCAACGATACCTCATTTCATTACATTCAAAGCTGTATAGGTATAATAGCTATTATAAATATCCATCTCTAGATATATATGAAGCGCGCAGTGCAATTCAGAAAGCATGTGCTATAGAGGTTATTATTTTTATTTAATAACCTGTTTGGTGTTTTCTATCTCACTCTCTCTCTCACTAGTCTTTGGAAATCTCATATAGTTAACGGCATTTGAACGAATGGGCGTAAACATTAAATTACACAATGTCGTCGAAGAGTATGTCTTCGGTTTTCTACACTTCTATCTATGATATTAACTAGCACATTTAACATACCTCAATACCTGGATATTATATAGGTACTGTGAAACAATAGACATAATAATACAATACGATAATACTATTACAATATCAGTGGAGTGATTAGGAATTTGCATTAGGACTTTAGGTGAGGAGAGGATATAAATGTTTAGTAAAAATCTGTGAACCTCATAATATTTCTTTAGAAAACACCTTAAAACTCTTTAAGGATCACAATTATTTTTAGTGAAGGTAACTGATTGTAACATTATAAATACAGGTTCGGTTGTTAAATTATGTTAAAATGTATAGTAGCTGTTTAGCAATATTGCCAGTATTAAAGCTTATAAAACTATACCTAGACCCAAATTTCTAGTAAGGTCTTTTGGAAGAAATATCATCAATTATAAGTTTATATATTGATTTTTATACTTCTATAATATGTATAGCAAACATTGTTAAGCTGCTTAACCTATTTATTTATTTTTGTAGTTTTGAGAAGATTTTAATCATGAATTATTGTCGTTATAAAAGTATATAGACAACAATTTCAATAAAAATATTGGGAGAAGATTTATTGTCTCAATTACATCTCTGTACAATAAACATATTATTTATATTCACGTATTGAGTGTATCACACGTCTGTATAATTTTATCAATTAGGAAAATATTGTAGGTACTTAGCTGTAATAGTGTTTTCATCTTGAAGCTATTGATGATATATTTTACCCATTTTACATGTTTTTCTATTAAAAATAAATATCACGAAGACGATTAATATTTTTCATTGTAAAGTAGGTATTCTCTGAGACGTAAGTAGCAAGCTAGTAGCATCACCAAAGAAATAAATATAAACACAAGTACCTATATTATTATTGTTTCGGATCATCAAAACGGGTTTCTGTTTAATATTCATACCAAACACATTGCAGCACTCGGTGTTTACAATTTTCAAGAATTTAAAGAGATCCCGAGTTTATTGGCAAACCAGGTTTTACTTATATTCCCTAAGGTCTTAATGGTACCTACCTAAATATGTAAAGTACATAGGTACTATTTTAAAGTATTAATATGAATTAAAATGGAGCTATACACAAGCCAACATTCAAATGTGCGTAAATACCGGAATAAATATTTAAATGAAAAATATTTTTTATTATGAAACTATCAATTACCCGAATTAAGAATATCAAATCACTAGCGGACAAGTATTATTAAGACGTTGAACGCTATTATTAGTATTCCACATTCTTTAAAAATCAAAGTTAAAGCGTTATGAAAATATAACCTCAGTAAAAATATATAGTTATACATATCTATATATATCTAAACATACAGACTTATTATAAAAATATATATAAAAGCTGGTAGGCGGTTAAAGTAGTTAAACATATGTTAATATTTTTTTTTTAGTTTTCTTTTATACATTGCAGTCGTCAGTTCTTTATTAATTATATTGCCAGATTAATAAATATATGTTCTATGTATAAGGACTTTGAAATTTTCGGTGCTGTAGTAATGAAAACCGTAACACCTTTTACCGATAACTTACAACTACAATAATATACAGATTTACTTATAACTAATAACTAAATTCATTTCAAAACGAGACAATTTAAAAAATCGAGTTAAGTGAATACTGAACAGAAATAATACTACGTAGCAATATGACTGTATACAAGATATTATAGAGGATTTTTTTCGGATCATCGAGCGCATATACTAAAATTAAAAAAAAAAATCATGATGTGATATAATATAGAGTTATAAATCGTTTATGCATTATTATATTGTTAATTTTGGTGTGAATCGTAAGACAGTTGCGTATCGTTCAATTTTTAGATTACGCATATAGAAACGCATTGCCCGTTTACCTAACGTCAAAATGTGTATAATTTGCACATCAGCACGCTTAATAATAGAACTGGAAGAGATTATGGGAATACCAATCAAAAGTGAAAATTGTTTACAAAATTTCAGCTGAGAACCATTCTTATGCAAAAGTTCCACAAATGGTATAAAAGCTCTACTAGTGCTATATATATTGTAATATATCTATTATAGCTCTGCTGCAGAATAATGCCGTCCTGTTCTTAAAAATATCTAATCCTACAAAGCTGCTTTCCATTTATAACAACATAAACGAAATAGAGAACTCAGAGTAGTAGGTAATCACTAATTAGAAGATTTTATCAATTAATTATGGAAATAATTAAAAAACCTTCCACCCTTGGGAATATTTTATGTAATTTTACAAATGATCGACAGCAGAAATTCTTAACCTGTGGTCAGCGGCCTTCTGGATGTCTGCAATACTCATGTCGTAGATTTTCACACCTTAGATAGTAGTAAAAAACTAGTTGATTCCCTTGTCAAATGCGCACTTGATAGCGGAGACCATCTGGCTAATTACAAGGTTTGTTTTGACTTACCTAAGAAGATAAACTTAAATCACAATACCTTTAATCATATTGATGCAAATGTCAAATCTATTAATGTTAACACTGCTCTCAATAAAAAAATATCCACCTTTAAAATTATGAATCCAAGCAATAACAAATGATTTCCCATACCAAACCGATGTTCCTACTACATTTCCAAACCCAGATATATCTTGTTAACCAAATAGCGCTCTTTCATTACAATTTCCAAGTAACTATTAATCCTTTGATAGCGCTACTAACTACTCTCATAGAGAAACTATGGTGAATTTCTATTGAAATTTATGATTTCATATAAAAATCTAAATCTTCATATAAATAAATCTATAATTGAATCTAATAATGGTGAATAGATCAAGTAATGTCTTCCACCCGATTTCAATGCTTTTATGGAAATAAAAACAACATAAAAAAAAATAAAAATAATATAATTTATTATATCTAACCTTATTATTAGTTTATATTGAGAGTAGTGTCAATATAGAAGCCTTTTTACTTGTGTTGCCACTTATTCACATCTGGTTACAATTTTATCATATTATCTATAGGTATTTATACTAATTAAATTGCTTATATATTTATGTAAATGGATTGTAAATTTTATCTTTAATAATAATAAAATTAAAAAATCAGCTTAGTAGTTAATATTTTACGCTTTTAATATTCATTTTTTAAATATTGTCTAGGTAGTTATAATTATAAATATAAACATTTAACGTATATTACGAAAAAATTAAAAAATTGGAGTGTACTGGTGATTCATAATCATGACTAAATCATACATTTTTATTGCAATATGTTTATGTAATTATGGTTGTTATTTAAACTTTAATTGAATAAGTTAATTTATTTTTTAATTAATATAATATATACTTATTATATTATTTGAATTATAATATTGTCGAATTTTTAAGTTCAATCAGAATTTGATATCAAAAGTTCATCTAATATAATGAGATGTTATACACATCTCATATATTAAAAAAAAAAATTATTTATACTCTTCAATTTTCGATATGTTGATATATAATGTGTAAACGATATTTTTGGCGTACAGGTAAAAAACTAACAGACAATGCGCGAACGACAACCATCATTAAAGTTGTAGTCTTTAGGCATTGGTTATAAAATAATATTTCGAGGTGATGACAATGATTTTAATAACAATTACAAATTATTATTATGTTGATAATTTAATTTCTCTCATATCGATTCACAAAAGAGGATATAGTGCAATTTGTAAAGAGTTAAAGACTTGCGTGGGCCGGCCATGCATGGGCAGCTGATGATTCCCTTGTAAAGATTAAAGATGGTTATGGTAAATCAAATAGTTCGGAAAAGACCAAGGGGAAGACCAACATAAAGATAGCTTGATGTTGTTAAGAAAAACTTGGAGAAGTTAAAACCCGATTGGAACGGAAATTTAGATTTAGCTCACGCACGAGAAATATGAAATGAATTGGTTTTAAAAGAAAAAAGCCTAAACGACTCGTAAAAATAAAAAAAAATTGACTGGTTATTAATTATTAGTGTGATAGAATCTAAATTAAACTCGAGATTTTGGTGGAGCATGGCCCAAATGTGAAGTTATCTTCATCTCTTTTAATATGTATATGTTACGGTCAATGATGAAAATTGAATATTTACGTCATTAACCGGTCATTAACGTTAGAAGCCAATTCGCTAGGTTATTTTCGTTAACTACCGGGTAATAACGTCAGTATCTAAGATAATAGGTTATTGTTGTAAATTACAAAATAAAATAAAACAATTTTACCTCAATGACCGAATCTTAACGTTATTAACCATTGACTGTTGGTCAATTATGTAAATAAAAAATACACATTAATTTAATTAATAACAGACTACACTGATTAATATTTATTATTTAATCTTATTAATAATTATTATTATTATTGTTAAATTATAATATTTATTTATATTTATTTTTTTATTACTAATAATATATTATATTTAATATATTATTTTTATAAAATGTAATATATAATATTAATTTACCTGTATCCATGGGCGCCCATAGGTAACATTTTAGGGGGGGTCAAAATAAAAAAATTTTCGAATGTAAGATAATAAAGATTTAATGTTATTTTTTACATATAAATGTATACATGTACGTTATATAAGATTATAAAAAATATAAATTAAAAAATATAATTCAGTATATTATTCGGTATCAGTAAATAAAAACTGTAAATTTCTTCGTTTTATTCCAAACATATTAATGACATCCTGAATGAAATTATCCTTGTTTGCGTTAACTCTTTCACGATGAAGGCTCATCATACACAACCCATTTAAACGATCTTCTCCTGTAGTCGAGCGAAGCCACGTTTTTACTCGTCTTAATGTACTGAACGATCTTTCTATCGTGCACGTTGTCGGAGGCAGTGATATAAAAATATTAAGTATTTGAAAAATAGCAGGATAATATTCGCAATGAGCCAATAAATCAACAAACGAAATTTCATCACACTGGGAGTCAATCAAATTTTTATCAATCCAATACTGATACCAAATATTAGATTCCTCTATCATATTTTCAATTTCATAATGATCACTAATCAGCTTAATTTTTTCTTTGAAATCATTAATGGTGTACTTTTTAATATTTGTAGGATGCAGTAGACTTATTGAGAATGCTATTTTATTTGTACTTGAAAATCGTCGTGAAAGAGATGATATTAGTGAATCTAAGTACGGAATAAAAATAGAAAGTCTGTAATAGTGTTCAGCAGAATCAGTTTCGTAATTTGATCTATTTTTTTGTTTGGATGTAATACGTGGAATTTTAATTTCTGCGCCAATTTTTTCTGCCATAAATATGGAATTATTAAAAATATCATTAAAAACGATATCTGATTGTTCTCTATTATTATTAAATATAGTTAATAAATCTTGAATATGATTTTGGACAGAGTATAAATCAATAGATTTTCCCTGCAATTTATTTGTAACTGGTTCTAATTGAGCTGAGTATTTGGATATAATATTTAAAGATATGATAAATTGTGATGTTGATGTCGCACATGATAGTTGGTGTGCTTTTGTGCGAGTAGTGGTGTTAACTTTAAAATCTGAGTCATTATTATGAGATAGTTTTTCTAAAACTGACTTAATATTAATAAAGTTTTCAGCAAAAATGCGAATAGATTTATATTTCGCAGACCAACGAGTATCACACAAAAGTGGTATATTTGTAGCCAATTTTCGACGAAGTACACTTTCACGAAAAAAATTAATAACCTCTTTAATTACTCCTACAGTATTTTGTATTTCTGTCACTGCATTCAAATCATTTACAACGAGATTGAGTCTATGCGAAGCACAGTGGAAAAATGTTGCTTTAGAATATTTATCACAAATTATTTTCTGAACTCCATTTTCTTTTCCAGCCATTACTGAACACCCGTCAAAACCCAAGCCAACAAGTTTATTCATATCCAAACCGTATTTTTCAACAGAAGTCAATATAGAAGTAGCTATACCAACTGCATCTAATGTTTGTAGTGCACTAAATCCTATAAATTCCTCTCTTATAGTTTTTGAACTATCAACATAACGAACACCAATCGAAAGTTGTTCAATGCCAGCAATATCGGAAGTTTCGTCGGCTAACAGTGAAAAACTTAGGCTACTATTTACTTCTCGAACAATTTGATCACATAATACATTTCCACTTAATAAAATTAATTCATTTTGAATGCGGTGTGAGGTATATTTAGCTTTACTATGACATGTTGATAAATGCTCAGACAGAACACTATCTCCAGATTCAACACGAAACTTTAAAAGATCATGAAAATTTCCACTACAGCTCAATTTGCCTCTAATTGCTAGATCATGTGTCGCACAAAATATTATTGATGACAAAATAGGGACTAGCTTTTTTCTATTTTGTTCAATTTGAGAGTGTTGAGCAGTATTTAATTGATCTATAACACTTTTTTCTTTGTTGGACATAATTTTTAAAAAATCTGTTGATTGAGAAACCGAATCCCTATGCCATTCAGATTGCATATGTTTTTTTGCGTGAAAATGAAAATCTTTATACTTGGTAAATTCACTTACAATGAACGCTCCTAATAATCCTCTTTTAACGACAGGACGAAAAACAACACAATGTTTGCATAAGCCGCCTTTTAAATGTCTAGAATAAACTAACCATCGATATTGTTTGAGCCATTCTATTTTAAAATTCCTTTTTTGTGCAATACTGTCATTCTTAAAATCATAATTATCAGAAGGAACATATGGTTTTGTTAGTAATTTATATTTAAGTTCATCTGATAAATTTGATTTATTAATATAAAGTCCTAAATCTGGATATGACTCACAATCATTTGGCGTATAATTAATTGTTGATGTAGGTACCGTATTTATTGACGTAGAACATTCCGGGTTTGAATTTACTTGAGCAGAAACACTTGTCGATGTGTGTGGCTCAAGCACAGCAGATGCATTATCTTCATCAGATTTTTTTTTTATTAAAAACGATCGAATATCCATAGTAAAAATTGAATTTAAAAAATAATAATCACTAATGACACTCAGCAGTCAGCACTAAATATAATGTCACACAGAAATTGGACAACTAAAATGCAGTTAATGTTGTCTGATAAAATATTTGTAGTACCTATATTGTGATCTTTATTCTTTATGGATTTACCACAAATTATCTGCGATAAATAATTTTACATATAGGTATACCTACCTATACGAACTACAGACTACGACCTATCTATGATGTTAATATACGATAACAATGAGTATATTTTTATACTTATTTCATATCTTAAAAGTGATTTCAACAAATAATTTTCCTCGGTAATAAGGTATAATATATAATATAATATTGTGGTAATATTTATTCAGCTACAAGTTCATAAAATTTTTTTCCAGGGGGGGGGGCAAGTGCCCTGTCTTGCCCCCCCCCAATGGGCGCCCATGCCTGTATCTATCATATTTTCTTGCTGCTCTGCAATTGGTGAAACAACTTCTTCAATATTTTGTGCTGAATCTTGTAATCCAGTTTCTTGCGTTTGATTAAACAATTTCTCTATATCTTCTTCTGTTTTTAATGAATTTATTTCATCATTTGGTAGACCAATCAAAATAATAATTAATATTATTATGGTTTGCTCGAGTAACTATCGGCTATCGCTGATTATCGATGATATATATATAAATAATACATACTAACGTAGTACCTAACGTGTGTAGATAGATAACTGACACTTAACAGTGACCCGTATGTTATAAATGTATAAAAATATATAATTTACAACAACGTCCAACAGAAGTTGGGAATTGACGTAAATAATAAAAAAATACCCATGTTTACAACATTAACCATTATGTATCGCCATTTACGTAAATTACCGGTCATTTACGTAAATTTAGATTGTACAAGGTAATTTTCGACATTGGCCGGGCTTTAACGTAAATATCATTATTTTCGTCATTGACCGTAACATATATATAGCATTAGCCACTAATGTCTTATAGTACTTATTACCATTTGCGTTTATAAATGAATTCTAATAATTCCATAATTCTATCTAAAACACATCTAACCTGACTATATTGGAATAGTGGAGATACTCATCCAATAGTTTTTGCATCGAATAGTTGAACATTGAATTAATCAGTAATTATATATAAGTATCTACCGACTCTATGTTAAATTATGATAAAAAACACGTTCAAAATCGATTAGATGTAACTCTAATGATTTTTCCATTGAATAATCAATATGTTAAAACAATTTTTTTTATTGAAAAGAAGTAAATTGAATATTTTTTAAATTATTTTCTTGTTTCTTCGGTATATTTTAACACTATTCGTTGTATTTCAATCTAAGTTATTCAATCGTAAAAATTATATTTAAAACACAACATTGATACTGCGGTAGGTATGCGACTAATTATAACTTATAACGCTGTATACGTTAAGCCGAATTTATGAAACTGCCGATTTCATGAAATCAGCAACGCTATTGCTGAAAACATGAAATTGGCAACTTGGCTACCAAATTCACGAAATCGACAAATTTTGATTGCTGATTTCATGAATTTGGTAACACATAATTATGAAATAATTACAAATAGTGGTACCTTTATAAATAACTAATAATTATCAATTTTTTATTACCGGACGTTTTTTTTAGCCGGATATTTTTGATACGAGTTCTTTTTGAATCAGATCAAGTCTGATCAACTATCGCAGATCAATAAAATTGTCGCCGGATATAATTATTTACCGGACCAAATGACGTAGAATCAATTGTTATATAGATACACAGTGTGTTAAAAAAAAAAAAACTCGTCTGGTTTTAGCGAATAGTTGAGTTGTCATAACCTGATAGATCTATAAATCTGAATTCACGATTAATAATATCATACACATATTATCATTGTAAATAAATGTATTTTTAATTATTCAGGTTTTCTTGCACAGCAAAAACGGTTAAAAATTATAGAAACATGAAAATACATAATAATATACTCGTAATGATGAATAGCACAAAACATAGGTTTATGGAACGCGAATAACCTATGAGCATTATTATAACAAGTTTTAACATTCCCAAGTTCATTTTGTTGTAACGTGCATTTTATGTACATCACGAAGTAGCCATTAACAACAAATTATCGCAGAAAAGTAATCCACGCATGTATGTATGTATATAATATAGGTACTGTAATTTTTTTTTAAACGGTTTTCGACATTTTTGTAAAACCACTTTATACCTATACATAAGATTCTTTATATTATAACCCTTGACATCATATCAAATAGTCTATCAAATCCTTTCTCCACATAAACCTAGTCCTTGCACAGGTCTTTTAATACGACTCCTATGACTTTGTAGAATATTTTGAATACCATCGAGTAAAATCAAATTACGCATACTTCTACATACATATATATTATATACTTATATTATTATACGCATTTATATTGTATAATAAATTTTATAAATGAAACTAACGTCTTTGGAGAGAGGTATAGGTACCATACATATTTTTTCATCGTTATTATTATTATTTTTTATTTAATGATATACATACATGTATTTAAGTCCTGACGAATGGGGCTGCCTTTATGATGAGTTTTAACTTTTAATTAAAATTAAACACATCGTATCACAAAAATATGCAGAGCGCTGCGCACAACCTGAAATCGCGGGATTGGTTCGAAATAGTAATAATAATCATAATAAATAATAATAGGTAATAATAATAATTTTTTTTTTCAAAATTGAATTACGCTATTATGCACACTCCACGGTTCACATTGCGATGTTATCATAGGGTTTCACGGCTGTTATAGATATAAAACCAGCGTGTAGGTAGGTATACAACACAGTTAAAGTTAGATTGCGTATTATACGCATCACGATTATCGCACATTGCGTTCCGTCTGTAGACTTTACGTTCCAAATTCCATATCAAACAACGGTCCTTGAATTCTAAAATATAACATAATATTTTCTATCACTGAGCTTTACGCACCAAAATGTACCGGGATCCGTTAAACATCCCAAGCTTGAACACTCAAAACAGTATTAACTCGCAGATTATGAGATGAGTGATGGCCAGTGTAATTTATTGAACAAATACAAAAATTGTTTTTTTTTTTTTGAGAAGACATTGAAGACTGAGGTTATATATTAAATTTTATTTATCACGTGACAGAATTTTTTTTAAATTTTTCATTGGTATTCATAATACTTTCGAAAAAACAAAATAAGTACTTACAATAAAATAAAAACAAGAATTGTATGAACAAAGCTATAAGATATACGACTATACGAGTAATATGTATATTTTTATAAGATCGTATTTTATGTTCTAATATGTTATGATTATGAATTTATGATCCATTATAGTCCAATAAACGATAAATATAATAAATGTCTAATTATACGTTCACTAATTATTTTTCGTATTTTTTAAATTCGAGATGGAACATCGTTCATAATAGCAGGTTCTTCTCAGAATAGTAGTAGGTACTTATCGTATCACTGTACCAGCCATTAAAATAATACATACTACAACTATATATAGGTACAACACGTTCTAAACAACTATTAAAGAAACAAGTAGTAACACAACTATTTATCAACATCTATAAATTATAATATTGCCTATTGGAAAACTAAGTAGTGAAGTACCAACCGAAAATAAATATAATATATTGAGTCTACTAAAGATTTGTTTATATTTATTGTGGCAATTTTACGGAATATACATCACATTCTACTTTTAGATGTTATATTTTGTTAATTGTACTACCGACGATGTCACGCGCGATTTATAAAAACTTTAAATCTACGGATAGAAATGTCTAAATTTAACATTCCGTCACATAGGTACCAAATCGATTCGTAACTTAGATTTATAGATGGATATTAAGTCGAATTTTAAAATGGGGAGGGGGGTACATTTAAATTCGAACAAACACACGTCTTCATAATATTATAAATATTACAATGTTTTTAATAATTATGTTTCTTTAATCTTGAATATTGGTTTAAAAACAGTTTAATTTTTAATTTTTTATTGAATACCTATACAATGATTATACTTTCCGGTATGAGACGAGTCGGTTAACGATGAAAACGTATCGAGGCCCAAATATTTTTTTTCGGCATCACACAACAATACTGCACAATAATACAATATATATATTATGATAATGTCACGATTACAATATATTTATATGTCAAATTGAATACCTTCATAAATCATAAGTATAGTTACTATGAACAATTTTAACTAAATTTTAGTAAATTCTCAGGCGCTCATGTTAGGTAGATATTTATTGACTGATCTACATCCGGCAATGACAAGTAGGTCGATCCTGCGGCGTACTTGGTATCGGTAATATAAAATATTATGCACTCGGCGTCCATCCGCTAATCATTATTGTTACGAGCGCCGCCGATTTGCTTTTCATAACCGATGTTCCGTAGTCCGCAGATTCTCACGTCGTGTATTTATACTTTTTAGCCCCGAGATACAAATTGCGTTAATCACGTTCAATTACCAATTATTAAGTTTACGCTCAACCACTATAATGCACACACGTGCCTGGATTCATTATTTATGCGTTACCTATTATAACATAACATTATTATCGTATGCAACTCCAGAGTACTTACATAATAATAATTGTATATTTGTATCATAGTATGTATTATGTACACACGGTGCATATGTCGTGCACTCGTGCCGCGTGCATGCGTTATTTATGTAAATATACGTATAATATATGCTACCAAAAAGTGTGAAAAGCGAGTATGAGATAAATTAATAAGACTAACGAACATTAATGGTGACAATAATGATGATACTAGGAGACGGGAATAAGTACATATATTATATACATTACTTGTCTTATTATTGTGCAGATTAAATAAGACCTTGAGATCCATCACGTCTTAGTGACAGACGACAATAAAATAAACGTGTGTGGCTACTGGCTACTCCTTGGACTGTAGGTACTATATTATTATCTATAAATGTATATCACATCCATTTTTGTTGATTTATTAATATATTTTATTATGACAGCAAGTAAGTATAAAAAAAAAATCTATTTATTTTAACAGGTATTTATAATTGTGTGCATTGCATTAGTGAATGATTGATCAATTAATTGTAATCTATTTTTCTTTCTTTTCTTGTTAACAACGATTAAGTAATCTTAATTGTATGCTGCAGGCAAGGGTAACCCCTGGGTTCAACTTTTAAAATTTAATATTTATTATGTAACACTTTTTAACTTAAAAACTGTCATTTTTTTAATATATTAATCTAACTCTGATTTTCTTTTATTAATGAATTTACTACATATTTATTTACCAAGGAAAACAATCTGTTTAATAAATTTGTAAACAGAAATTTGTTTTAATTTATTATCAAAATTGATTTAAATTCATTACAATCAATTTAAATTATACACAAAATGTCCATACCAAAAACAAACATATTATAAAGAAAACAATTTACAGTTCATGGTTTGATAATATAATAAATAAATAATTATGTATATATTTTTTGAGTACAATACATTGTATACAATATTTATGTAATACCATTAGTTTACTTATATAATATCATATATAATTTACTGTAGTAGTTATTGAAGTAAAACTATGTACCAAGAACCATTTTATTTTAAAATTTAACAGTTTTTTATTCTTCTAATGGATACATAGCTATTGATATTAAAATATAATTGTCAAGATGTTGAAATAAATTGAGTATTAATAATCTAAGTAAGAGGAAGCCACGCTTATATTTTGTTTTCATTTTACAAGTGAGCAATATTATATTTTTATAGTAAATTCACATACTTCATTTTGGGTTCAGCTATGTTGCTTAAATATTAAAGTGAAATGATGACCTATTGGTTGATATGAAACAAAAGTAACATCAATGCATACTTTTTAATTAAGTTATGAATATATAAAATATTGCAATTTAAAAATTAAAATATTGTGAAAAATCAATGTTCAAACACAGACAGTGTTCTCAACTTTAAATTTAATAATATGACAATTTAAATATTACTTATTATTATAACAACTGTTACAAAAAAGTTAAACTTTAATTATTGAACATATATTTGTAATGTAATACTATTGTATGATGGAAGCAACAAATGCAGTTATGGTGTCCTCTTAAAGAATTCTCATTAAATCAAATAAAAATATTTATGAGAATTAATATCAAAATAAGTTTCATTGCTTTCATTGAACAGTTGTTTTATTATTTTATATCAATAATGTCAGATTAATTAATTAACATTATTTACTGGTGATGATTGTTTTTAGAATGAAGGTTTATAATGGAATTTTATTTATTTTAGCACTTGTTGTGCGGTACAAAACCAACGAATAATTGTTATATAAATATACAACAGTATTTGTTTTTTAAATGTATGAAATACTCATTAACTTAATGTATAGTAATAAGAATAAGTCTATACTTCATTATGTTATCATGTATCAAAGTAATTAATTTTATTAAACATAATTGTTTAGTTTCTTAGTTCCTTTTGACAAAAATACATTTTCAATGATTGAAATTAACTAGTACACTATAAAGATTTAAATACATCACAATTACAGTTTATTATTTATTAAATGCAAGTTGATATTTAAAATTTACAAATTAGTTTCATTGGTATTTTTTAATAATATGAAATGAATAGTTAATTTTTAAAATAAAGAATTTTCAAATATTTCTATTTTATACTTAAAACATTTAATAGAATAATGGATGTAAACATGTACACGAAGTAAGGCCATCCAGTTATCATAATTTGTGTTATAGATATATAAGAAAACATACTTAAAATGAATAATCAACTGTTTTATTTATACAAGTAGAAATTTTACTAAAAAATCCAAAACTTTAATTTAATCACTAGAATATGATATTTTCAACCAAATGAGTGGAATACCTACATAATTAATCAATAGTATGTGTTTAACAACTAAAACTTATAAATATTAATGACATAAATATGACACTCATCAAATGTAATATAATTCTTTTATTTTTAAAAATTTGTTTAGTTTATAACTGAGTTAACTATACCATGTATTTATAATAATTATTTTTAAATGTAACACCATTTTATTTTTAATAAACTATATAGATTAATGATCAAATATGTGCATAAATATATATTATTATAACATACCATTTATGATTATATTAGGTATATATAGCGCATCAACACTACTTAGTTAACACATTATTTAAATGTGTTTACTATCTAAATAAGATAGTTAAATAAATTAGACATGTTTGTTCAATGAAATGAAACATCATAGGCCATCTATTAAATTATAGGTTTAATTAAAAATTAAATACTTAAACTGGATATTTACAAATAAAAAATAATGGAAGACAATAAGTATATAATACAATTATAAAAGGGTCCATCATTTTTCAAAAGATAAATAATTGGTCGACATAAATTTAACTTTAAAATGAATAAATAGTATTACATTATATGATAATATATTTCAGACATTATTTCCTACATTGCTGTTTTTCTTACAATATAAATGAATAGAAAAAACATTGTATAACTTATAAATGTTAAAATAAATATTGAACATATGTCTATAAGTTATATTTTTATATATACCAAATAAGACTTAAATGAGTTTCAAAGTAAACATTTATTTTTTCCTACGACGATAACAAATTTCTCAGATATTTTAATACATTATTGTAAAGTATAAACATTATTTTTTGAATATAAATTATTAGGTTAACATTATTTGTTTTAACTTATATAATAATGATTTGAACTATAATATTATACCAAGATCTGTATGTAGGTAGACGGACAAAGTTAATATCTCATTACTGCATGTAAGGCCCTGTTTAGAATATTTAATTATTATTTTTTTCTTTTTCTTATCAGTAGAAATACCTATAAATTATAGGATTAGTATGAGACTCAATATTAATACTTTTTAATAGTCAGAGATTTCTATAGTTGAATTAGTATGATAAAATTATAAATTTTTTTATCATATTATAATATAGGATAAAGTTCTATAAACAGATTTACTAAATTAAAATGTTGGAATGTACATCACCCCTTACTACTTTAAATTAGTAAGCTCTTATAGGATGCTCATAATTAATAAATAATATAAATACAATAAGTTGAATGTTTCGATTAAAAATAATATTGTAATTATAAATATATAAATTTTATTTTAATTTATAATAGTAAATATTGATATTTTTTTAATTTTAATTTTAAATAAAAATAGTATAATTTTAATATATATATATGTATATAAAAGCTTATGTTTTTTTACTAATTTAAATATTATAGTTAGTTTTTATAAATAATCATAATGCACAATTCAAATTAATTTGTTTAATTACGAAATGATTATTTTTCACAAGTATAAACAAAATTATATTGTATACAATACATTTTTTCCCTAAGAATATTCTTTAAAACAATATTGTAATAAATAATAAAATATTACAATTCTTGATAACTATATTCAATATTTGAATTATGGTATTTGATTCAGTTAATAATTTACATAAAATGCATTTTGAATATTTTAATCAGAATGTAAAATATATTTAAATTAATTTAGTATATCACATTTATACTTTATAACGATGCAAGTTCTTAAAAGTCATAAATATTCTAAAGGCAAGACATAAATATATTTTATTTGTGTTGATATTATAAAAAAAAAATTGAAAATTATTTTAATGAAATACATATACTGAACACAAACAATATGATTATGATCAAGCAGTATTCAATGATTTAATATACCGAAAATTATTAAAAAGGTAGAGACAAAATTAGAAACTAAAATATGGTTTTATTTTGTTATTAATGTTTATAAACGTGAAATAAAAACTTTTGAGCTTTGTGTATTCACATAATAAAATAATGTGTATGTGGTAACAAAAATTGAAAAGAAAAAAATAATAATTATAGCTTAAAATTGAAAACACTTACATCAACAACTGAAATTAACAACATTTTCTTTTTGCTCCTTTTGAGTGACCTTTTCTTAAAGTCACAACATCATTGTTCTGATGCGCCTGACGTTCCTTGGTTTCCTTTTTGTTCCGCAATACTTGTTTAGTAATCGACATGAACATCTATAATATATTTATAGAAGTTAAAATATAATCGGTTCATTTGAAGATAAATTATTAAATAGTAATTTTAGAATAGCATAACATTTTAGTAATAACTATACACATTAATTAATTAAAATAAAATGAAGACTTCAATTTTAAAAATAGTAATTGGGTGTGGTGTCTTCATAACATAATATTTTTAATGAATATTCATTATAAATTTATTTTAAACACATTCAGATAGATTATTTACTGTATGTACTAATACTGTTATAATATTATCTATTACTATTTTAATAATAAATTATTATAATTATTTTTTATTTATAATAGAATCAGTATTTCTTGAAAGTATATAATTTATATTATTGCATATACCTAACATTTAATTTTTTCTTTTTAATTAAAAAATTAAAATTAAAACATTGATAACAATTTAATTTTGAAGAATTAATTATTACACTATTTATATTTTTATATTAATAAATGTTGATATCAACTTTATTGAAATTTAAAATTAAATTTTAGAAAGGAGAGTAGAAAATGGAAAGTAGATAATACAGGAATAAATGAAAAGTGACACTTGACTTTTAAGGGGAAACAAGAGAAAGTTAATAAGAAATATAAAGATTATAGGAAACTAAATTAATCATTTGCCTTAAAGTTTAAGCGTTTAAGTATTTAGTCATAAATAAATGTTACACAATTAGTTTAATATTTTAAGAAATAATAATTATACTATATATTCATATAATATTAATTAAAAATTAAGATTTTACTAATTAGATAATGATTACTTTTATACAAATATTTTAGAAAGTAAATAGATAAATAATAAATATTATATAGATATACCATGAGAAAATATAGATTTTTTCACTATATCAGATTTAGTTTATTTAATTATTTATTAATTAACAAAATATACTAAATAATTGAATTGTGCTTGTTACCTGTTCAACATTTATGTTGTCTTTGGCGCTAGTTTCATATAATTGAATGCCCATTTGATCAGCAAATCTTTGAGCATCTTCTGTTAACACTACTTTTCGATCTGGAGCATCGTTTTTGTTTCCAACTAAAAAAGAAAAATTAGTTATAGGAATAGTTGAAAGAAAATTCAAATTAATTTAACATTTTAACTGTTTAAAATATATCGATTATTAGAAAATTTATAAAAATGATTGATATTTTTCTTATAATAAAGGGCTCGAATATAGAACAAATCATAATTGACATTTGTAATACTAAGGTATAACCAATGCTTGAAATGAATCAAAATGTACTAGAACAGTGTTTTGGTTTGTAATATTAACTTATATGTCAGTTCTGGTTATTTAAATTAAAATTTAAGGGTTTTGGATTGAAAACATATTAAGTAAACAATAAAAAAACAATGAAATAGTTAATGATTATTATTATTTAAGTTAATAAAATATATCATTATTCTATAGAAAGAATAAGAAATATTTCTATGTACAGCAATAAAAATACATTTTGATAATAGCCATCAAATTAATAATTAATGTAAACAAAGCATAATATTTACCTAATATCCTATTGACAACTTCACAATTTTGGTCAATCTCGTGTAACCACCGTTTGACATTTGCAAATGAGTCCCCATTGCTAACATCGTATACAACTATCACACCATGTGTACCTCTATAATACCTGAAATAGAATATTTGTAAAAATGTAACATTAGCTACCTATATACACATAAATTCAAATAAACATAATATAAAATAAGCAATTTTTTACGTTGAAGTAATTGTTCTAAATCTTTCTTGACCTGCAGTGTCCCATATCTGTAATTTAACTTTTTCTCCGTCAACAATGACTGTTCTGATTTTGAAGTCGACGCCTATAGTTGTTATATAGCTACCAGAGAATGTGTTATCAGCAAAACGAACAAGCAATGAACTTTTGCCAACACCTTTAGACAATACATATATAGTATTAAAATTATTAGACACATGTATAGATTTAACAAATGTAATTGCTTAGAAAATAGTGCATTTGGAAACGTTACGAGTGCTCACCACTGTCTCCGATGATTAACAGCTTAAACAAATGATCATATTCTTTAGCCATAATGATTACGGACGTCCAGGGTGAAATAATTACAGTTCGTGAGTAGTCTTAATGTGACATCTATGGAAAAATCATCTGGTATTGTAGATTGACAGTGTAATTTTGACCGGAACAAGAGTTACGAGACGACCAGCGAGGTGGAATATTTTCAAACGATATCGTTTAACAGCAGACACAAACACTGTACAATAAAAACATACACAAAATCATACATAAAAAATGGGAAAAATTTAAGAGCATAGGAAAAATATGAATACGAATTAAAATTTCTCATTACAATCAAAACATGAATCATCCACGAAAAAAAAAAAAACGGAAAACAAAAACGGTTCGCTGATAATGAAGAAGTTCCAATGTTCCACCACGGTCGCATTTCACGGTAACCCGTCGATTATCATCCCGAGACATTCTCTTAGTGATAAATGATGATAACATGTTTACCATAATATTATTATTACGACGTGCGTTGTGGAAATAGATATTATATTATCATGTATATTACTTGCCAGAATGCCTAGTAGATTAGAAATCAGAATATCATCAATCGTCATGGGCATGGCCTTGCAAGTTGCTATATTGAATATTGATAACATAAAACGTTGAGGTTTTTGTTTGAAATATTCCAAAAATTTGTTACCTGCCTAATTATTAATAATCTGAGTCTATATCTTTTAAAATTGTTCATCATGTTTTTTTTTGTGTTGTATATTTTATGAATAAAATTATTGTTTGTTAAGAAGGCTTCTGACAAATTATTTTTTATTTTTTACTGAAATCTTTCGATTGATTTTAGTTAACTTTTTAATAGTATGTTTAAGACTATGTATCGAATTGGATTTTTTTCACACAATTTTATTTCCATTTCTTTAACAATTTTGATTTATGCAAATCAAATTAATGCTGGTTCACCCCCAGTCGTATTATGGCACGGAATGGGTAAGCTAAATAAATAATTATATTTTCATATAATATGTTATTGTTATACACTTATACCTAATCATTTAAATTTTAATTACATGGTATCATTTATTTACGCTTATTTGTTGGGTTTTCTATTTTTCAAAACTTTTTAAATGTACTAGTAGATACTTAATTGTATTTAAGAATAGAATTTTATAGATTCTAGTCAATTTATATACATTTTAATTAATAATTATTAGGTCATTTAAATAAGTATTTCCTCGGGTGGACTAGGATAATATATTTATTTTTTAAGAGAGCCCTAGAAATTTTAACTTAAAAAATTGCTTTGCTTGGTTATTGTTATTTATTTATTTATTTTTGCTGTAAACAAATATTACATAAATTACAAATAAAAGATTGTAATTCTAAATTAGTTCTAAGTATATTATGTGTGATAATATTTTTATTTTTTAAAGTGTACTATAGTCCTTTATAATTGTATGCAGTATACTTACAATATATATATATATATATTACATCTAGGTTGTTATTTAATTATAAATAAGCTTATTTATTAATTATTCATATTACAAATAATTTAATAACTGATTTTTTAAATATAATATGCATACAATTTTTTTTTTTAAATATTTCAAGTTGGGCCAGGTTACCAGGAAATTTGACATTTTGTCTAGTTAAACTGCCTTTGGGTATTGTTTTATGATGTGTAAGAATTTCTACTTATTTTTATCAATTTCGTGTAAAAAGACTAAAGAATATTTCAATTTTAGGTGATAGTTGCTGTAATCCATTAAGTCTTGGAAGAATTATTAAGGTATTACAGAAGAACTTGGGAATAGATTCGTATGTGAAGTCAATACAAATCGGAAAATCTTTTGAACAGGTCTTTTGTAAAATATGTAAATATATCATTAATTAATATGCACATTTTATGTTAGAAAAACTAACAAAAATGAAAAAAGTTAGGTGGAATATATATGTAATTATTTTAATTTAATGAATTTATATATTTTATTAATATGTTTATTTATAATTACTCAATTATACATTTTAATATGTTTATTACTATTTATTATATTATACTGGAAATTTACATGCTGGGTTGATTTGAGATATTGGGTATAATATAATCTTAAATTTTTACTGTATCAATTAAGATTTAATTTGGTGCCATAGATCTATGAAAACAGTATGATCTTTAATATTTCAGTAGTTCTTATATGCGTATTTTTGTTTTAAATTTTATGATTATATAGGACGTAAAGAACAGTTTTTTCATGAATATCAACCTCCAAGTTGAAGATGCTTGCAAACAAATATCTACAGATCAAAAGTTGACCAATGGTTATAATGCGATTGGATTTTCACAAGGAGCCCAATTTTTGTAAAATCAAAATATATAGAATATAAAAGCAAAGATCATTGTAATTTATGTATTATTGTTTTTTAGAAGAGCAGTTGCACAAAGATGTCCTTATCCTCCAATGTTAAATCTTATATCTATGGGCGGTCAACATCAAGGAGTTTTTGGTATGCCAAGATGTATTTATTCTAGTCATAAATGGTGTGAATATATAAGATTAGTTTTGAACAAAGAAGCTTATGCAAAGTAATTAAATTAATACTATGAAATCATTTTAATGAACTTAAATTATTGTTATTTAAAAAAAAAAATGATTTCTTATTATTACTAAATACTTCTATGACATACTAAATTACTACCTTATTAATACATTTTTTTTTTTTTTTTGTATTTAAAAAATAGATTAACACTTAAATTTTTTTCAAATTATACCCATGCTATTTCTTTAACCAAAATCTTGAAAAATAAAATATTATAATTAATAACTATTGTTAATTGGTATTTTTTATTGTTAAATATTTAAATTGTTATTATCAAATTATTATATATTGTATTATTTTTCAGATGGGTACAAGATTTATTAGTTCAAGCAGAATATTGGCATGATCCAATTAAAGAATTAGATTACATAAAGGGTAGCAATTTTTTAGCAGATATTAACAATGAACGTTTTATTAATACAAATTATCGAGAAAATTTACTTAAATTAAAAAACTTTATTTTGGTGATGTTTACAAATGATACAATGGTTATTCCAAAAGAAAGTGAATGGTTTGCATTTTATTCACCAGGTCAAGATAAAGAAATTTTGCCACTTGAACAATCTGTACTTTACCTTACAGTAAGTAATTATTTTAATCATATTTAAACTGTTGTTAAACCCAAAAAATGTCAGCTTGTGTATCATATCAGTATCTTAACAATGTTAATTGTTAAAATTATTATTTTTTCAAAATTATCTTAAATTATCTATTCTAGTTTTCCATCTCCTATTTAAATATTTAATAACTATGAAAAATTATTTATATTAACTATGAAAAGTTAAAAAGTATAGTAATGGAATTTTTAAGATTATTTTTTTGCAATTTCATTAAAAAATACTAAATATAAAATGACAATTTGAAGAAGTTTTTAATTTTAATTTTTCGATGATAAAAATAATTTATATATCTGATGAGTGATGACATTTATGAAAATGGTGATCTTAGGTAATCTATAATGTTTACCTATCTGTCTATAAATTGTGTATCAAATTTATATTAATAGTTAGTTTGTTTCTGTGTTTTGTAGGATCGACTGGGTTTAAAAGTATTAGAAGAAAGCGAGAGATTACATTTTTTGTCAGTTCCTGGTAATCACCTTCAGTTTTCCGAAGAATGGTTTTTGAATGAAATTGTCAATAAATATCTTAAAAAATAGAATATTAGTATTATAGAATTACTATAAGCAGTTATTCAATTATATATAAAAAAATTTAAAAAAAATTAAAATTTTGTATGCATTCCATAACATTTTGTTATTGATTAAATATAAACAATGAGAATTTTTATAATGTAAACATAGTTTTAATTGTATGCAACACTTCAAAGTAATAAAATAAGAAGTACAATTTTTTTATATTTTATATTTTTGTATTTATAAGTATAATTTTTCTAAAGCTTGTAGAGATGTTGCAGATTTGTAATATTATTTTTTAAATATGAAAAAAAAAAAAATGTTATAATACTAATTTCATAGTTTATAAAAAAAAAAACTTATAAATCTACAGATATCGCATTTAAATAATATCATTAAAAAAAGACACTGTTTGGCTTTTAAAAAGAAATTTTTATTTTCTATTAAAGTGACTTTTACCTGTAATGTCCATTCTGATTTCTACAGAAAAAAAAAATAATAAATTAAGTGGGCAAATGGTTACTGCTCTGTTGTATGATAAAGTGTCAATGGAGCACTAAAGGATATGTTAATTTGAAATCAATGTATGTGAAAACCATTCTGAGTTGGGATTGTTCATCATCTTAAACCAACAAATATATTTTGTGTTGTTTTTTATGTTGCTATTGAGTAAAGTAATTTATTTTCTACTAGTAATATATACAATATAGTAGGTTTAATTAATTTTTGCTAAAAACATTGTATTTGAAAATATCATTGTGTGTAGATATAAACTATAATAATTTAATATGTAAAAGTTATTTAACGGTCATTCGTTTTCAACTATATCAAAATAAGAAAACCGTATTTAAGTAATATTACTGGGTTTTCCTTAATTTTTTTTTATTTTGTTTTCAAATTCATCTCGTTTCCCGAGACGTGTTTTCCATATAAGTTTTGTCAAATACGATTCCAGAAAATTTCTTTCAGTTCCATAACGTTTTTTATTTCCCCATATAGTAGAACCATGCAATCTCGATGTTTTGGGTGTGTTTCCGGTGTTCGGATCAACAAAATTATAGGTGTAGGAAGTCAACAATTTTATATTGGAATCCCGTTTGCTAAAAATTATTTTAAGCTTTCCAACAATCCAACATAATTATTGAGCCTGGTCTTATATATTTTTGTATTATAGGTATTAGGTAACAATATTTTCTTCAATCGATCAGGTACACTCTTTTAAAACATGCTTTGGTTTCCTGACTGCCGACATAATATTCCACCAAAATTTCATTGCTATGATAGAATACGTCCAGCTTAATATTTCTACACAAATAAACTTTCATCTGGGACCACCAATTTTTTTATTTTGATTATTTTCTAACCTTTATACACATACCCTAAGATAAATATAATTACTCCAATCGACTCTCAGCATTTTATCCCATTTTTAGTTCACGTTTACAAAATGTAACTGAAGATATTTCTAGGGCTCAGTAGTATATGACTGTTGGTCTTTCGATTTTTTCTGATTGATTTTTAAAATATTAGATTTTGAAAATTAATTAAAAATAATTATGAATTGATTTGAAGAATTAATGAATAAGGCATTAAAATATTTTAAGTTAAAAAAGAATTACGTACCGTGGATCTTCTACACACAGTCCACCGACTTTGACCGATCGATTCAAAAAATGATGTCAATATTTAACAAATTAGTTTTTAGAATATTTGCAAATCAATAAATTTTTGAATCAATTGAAAAAATTCGTAAGTATGGTAAAAAGCTTGTACATTTTACCGAAAATAATATTAATTTGCATTAATGGATATATAATTTAACGTTTAAATTATTTAGATCATCATGTACCTTCTACACGTCAAGAATTAAGTTTTAATTTATAAACATTATGATTAAACACAATGTTTATTTCCGGGAGAGGTATTACTCCCTCGGAAAAAAAACGCTTACCCCATGGAAAAATGTAAGACGTTACTTCGTCAACTAACAATAAAATAAAATAAACCACAACATGATAGTGTATTTAGTCTTTTTATCTAATGATTTTCTTTTTTTTATTTCAATAACCACACATGTACCCCTTTGAAAATTTACGATCCCCCTCCCCCCGGGAATAGAAGGTCTGAAATAGATAGGTACTGATTAAACAAAACATGTCTAAGTATTATCATAAAGTATTTCTAAGTAGTTTATTAAAATGATTAAATTTAGTGGTTTGGGATATAGATATAATTTAATTTACTTAACATACATATATTACTTTATTGCATGAAACCGTCAATAATTATATAAAATATTAAGTCGGTGTATTTTCATAGTGATCAAATTATTCATATTTTAGTAATATCACTTATAATAATAAGTATCGTCCTTAAAATTAATTATATTCATATAGGTGCTAACAAAATCTTTATAGGTACTTATACGATATAAATATAATATTCATAAATGCTGAAAATATTTAAACGTTTATTGTATTGCAGTGATATGAAACGGCCAATAGAGGTTCTTTTTACCTTTTTAAAGAAGACTTTTACTAATTAATTCCCTGTTCACAAAAATATGTATTTGCCATGTTCTATCAAAGTTTTATCGATTTTGAAAAATATAGTTATATTTAATATACCTAATATATATTATATATAATCGCGGAATGATGCCATTGAAAGAATAATGTATTCATACCACGTAAAATTACAGGTGAACTAATTATTGGTGTCGTAAAAGTTCATTGTTTTTAAATTGCAAGTTAAGTAACAAACGGTAACAATTTATACACTAAGTAGGTAGGTAAAATACCACCAGCTCATATCAGAAATAAAATCGCTATTTTAACTTGTGAAGCTTTGCTGTTGGTTCGAGTTGTGACCAAATAATTATTAAAGTAGCAAATAAATATAAATTAAAGGTATTTTTGAACTGATTAGATTATTGTAGTATTATACTTGCATGAATTGCATTATCGTTCATAAACATTTTTCACAGCTAATACAATGAGAGATATTTAAAACAAAACTTTACAGTAAAAATGTTGTGATATTAATAAAAAGAACGCCAACAGTTTCTGGAGGCTATAGCCCGTAAAAACTAGCAGAAAATTAATTACGGTGAACTGGTCAAATTACATTTCCTATTTCTTACTACCTGAGATGATGCAAATTACAAACGCAGTTTAAAAATTTTTGTGGAAATTACACATGTTGTAAATAATTAGAGTCAATTTTGGTACAAATTACACCCGTCAGACCAAATACGAGTGGCCGGAGCCATCGAGAAGTACTTTACTTCGAAAAATACTTTAAAATAAATATTAATATTTCTAATATGAAAATTAAATCTATGATAGCAATGGCGCAGTATATTGAACATCAGAAATTACCTGGCACAGTTTGCACAGTTTTCACCGTTCTTCAAATGATCACGAATAACAGCGTGAAAATTTATAAATTAGTCGCTCACATAGCCTGTATGAGCAAAATTCTTAAAAGGTTATTTTAAAATTGCTTTATCGAGGTACACAATGATAAAACAAGTTTTATTGTTTTTAATATTTACATATAATACATTCTACAGTTTTAATACTTAAACATATATATGATAATATAATTAATGTAACATATTATTAATATTTAATTTCATGTATTACAATACTTCAAAAACAGAAAATGGTAAATAAAGTGTAACGTGAGGTAATGTTTATATTTAATATTAAACATAGACAATTTTTATAAACATGACTCGAATGAGATAACTATTCTCCACACCTTCATTTTTTTAAATAAAATAAAGATAATTATCTTAAAAATATTAAAAGGAGTTAATAAATTGAAACATAATAATGAAATTATAAGCTAAAAAATTTTAAAATTATTGGAGGGTTACAATTTTCGAATTTATTTGTATGCATGTACAAGTATAGGTATAGGGTGGTGTGGTTGGTGGCAAATAGTAAATAATTTTTATAAACATAACAGGAATGAAATAACATTAGGAATGACATTATAAGTTGCCTAACCTATTGGAATGTTACAATTTTCGAATTTATTTCCCTGAACAGAAAATATTAAAATGAAGGTACTTTATTCAAATGTCAATATACAATATCATTAATATCAATTATAAATGGATAAGTTTAATTTGTAGAATTTTATTTTATTTAAATATTAAAATTATTTAGTTATCTTAAATCAAATATACACAAAGCAATTATAAATATAGCTTTCTAATTATTTTACTTACAAGGACTGATGTAAGTACTACTTTTAAAAATTTTAAATAAATTATTGTTTTTAAGACTTAAACATTACGTGGCAATTCAGAAAATGGAGTAAAACAGTGTAAATTAGATTTTGAAGTAAGGGATACCACCATTTTAATCGTCGATTTCGTTTTCATTTCCCAGACCTTAGTAAGGATACAACGAAATTTGTTTATAGACAAAAATTATTTCTTTTAAAACATAAAAATTAGATTACCTATAATTTATGAATAAATTACTTAATGCAGGAATTATTCTTTGATTCTTTGTTTATGCCTGTTCTTATTCGTATTTGTGGTCCCATTTCGATGATACATTTTTTTAACATGAGGTTTTTAACGATTTGTTCACGAATTTTGCGCAATCTTTTGAAGTTATTCATTTCCAATAGTGTTTAGTCCGGTACCATAAAGTATGACGTTCATTAAGTTCTTTTTCTATTCTCTTTGTTTCATCTAATACTTCTTGTAAGTTCTTTAGTTTATCTATTGATACTTGTATATCCTTCGGATTATCTATAAAATCAAAAGGATAAGTCCATTAAGGTAATATTTATAAAAATGTTCAAGGTCATAAATAAAATATCAAATATACATGTATTTTCTTTCAACTTTTTGCATAGACTTAAATTTTCTTGGCGTAATTTTTGATTTTGTTGAGTTAATTTTTTTTGATTTTGTGATGTACAAATGTATGCATCTAAAACTTTGTTTTTTTTCTTTTAATATACGTTTTTCAGTTTTTAAATCTCTAGTTAAGTAGTCATCCGATATTATTTTTGTATATCAAACTGGAAAATTATGAAATAC